ACTCCAGCTTCCGTCAAATGCCGTTGCACTCCCACGTCCTTGCCGGACATATTTGCAGCACCGTCAAAGCCTTTACCAATGAGATCTATTAATGAAAGTCTGAGATCTTTCATAATGTCTACGATCACCTTAGCTAAAGAACGTCCCTTTAAGCTGGACACCCTTACAGTTATCTTAAAATCCGTTACATATCGGAATATAATGGACATGAAGGCCTTCTTGTGAGATGTAACCTCGTCACACTGGATGGAGAAATATTTTGCTGCTCGGACTTCATTACAGACGACTTCAGTAATGAGGTTGCTACGAATACTGATCATATCATTTTGACTCACATGGGAAAAATAAGAGACATTCTCCGGATGCGTATCCATCCATTTCCTCAAGGGGGCGTGGTATTTGGAAAGAAATTGAAGCTCTTCAAGGAAATTACCTTTGTTTTTTTAATCACACGACTCGTCATGACCACGAAAGGACATGTTCTGTTCAGCCAAATCTCGAACAACGTCGAAAATCGTTTCAACGATGTCTCGGTTTTCTTTTCTCTTCTGCTCCTTTCTTTTTCTTACTGCTTCCGCTTCCCTGTTCAATTGCACATCGATTGGCGTTGCTAATTTGAATGAATGAATGCGTTCTGTTAAAAGCGTATGCACCCGCGAGTTAGCATGTTTGCTTAGCTTTCCCTTTTCTCCGGTAGCATTCTTCAAATTTCTGAAGCCAGTCTTTGTGAACACATCATCAGAACTGCCGACTGTATGAATAAGTGGTGATAAATGATGACAGTGGTTATTTTGTTTACTTACATATAGTGTAATATGATACATCCTATTTAGTGTGACTATGTTAAAGTAGTGTTATTTACAAAGATAAAAATTAGCATGCATTAAGATTAGGTTCTAGTCTTCTAATGATTTGTTTCTCTTTGGTCTCTCTTATTAGTCTATTAGCGTTAATACACTTATAGATCGGCATAATGTTAAAGTTGCCTTTGCTACATTTAGATAGGTGTTCACTGACGGTTAAATGTCGATATTCTTCGTATCTAATATGCTGCTTATGCAAAGTTACTCTGCTTCTAAGGTTTTCAGTCGTTCCCACGTAGAAACTATTGCAATTTGCGCATATTATGATGTAAATAACTCCTTTTGATTTACAATTCACGTCATATTTTACCGTCCACTTTTTTCCATTCTTCAGTTCAATTTTGTCTCCGGTGATTATATGAGGGCATATGCTGCAACGAGGTTCATTGCACTTTGTCACAGTTGGCGTGGCGTTGGACGTTGAAAATTCCGCTTTCGTTAAACTTCCTTTTAAGTTTTTCGGTTGTCGTCTGGTTACAATAAGATTATTTTTCTCTATTGTACTCCTTAATTCATCTGACAAATTTAAAACTTTTACTGTGTCCTTTACTTTCCCAATAATGCTATATAAGGTTATTTGCATGATTGTGTGTTACCACTTGAGGTAATATTCTGCCTTCGGGTTCCTTCGCCTTTGGTGTTCTTAATTCCTCGGTAGTTTGACTTTCGCTTTTTCGAAGCTTGAGTTAATTAGCGTTGTTGGATAGTTTCGACGTATACGAGAAATATTCTAAGTTCTTCCAAGCGTTGTTCACGAATTTCATGGTTGGCGATAATCGTGCAAATTTGTCTAGCTAATGTGTAGGGGATGTTGTTCTTACAGTGTTTGGGATGGCAGAAGTTGAAGTTGAGGTACTGGTGGGAGTCTGTTCTCTTGTAGTAGATGTCTGTGTAGATTGTTCTTCCGTCTTTACATAGTAAGATATCTAGAAAAGGTTGTTGTGACTCATGCACTTCCATTGCAAATCTGAGTTTCGGATGAAGGTCGTTCAAAAGTGTGTGTAGTTCATTAAGTTCCTCCCGTGTTTTGTCCCAAAATAGAAAGCAGTCGTCCAAGTATATTTTAAGTATGGCGATGAATTATTCTCGTTGTTCCGTGCCATAACGTATCTCGAATAGTTCATATAGTTTTCTTTCTAGGAAACCCATCACCAATGTTGCATATATTGGGACCATTTTGTGCTCATGGCGGTTCCTTGAATCTGTCGATAATGTTGGTCATCGAATTTGAACGTATTTTTATTTAGCACGATGGATACGGCATTTAGAGTAAATTATTTCGAAAATGGGCGGGCAAGATGTGCTGTGTAGTTATCCAGCCAGTATTCCATAGCTTCTAGACCTAGTTCATGTGGGATATTTGTGTAAAGATTAACGACGTCAAATGACACTAGTAATGTTTCATCGGTTACTTCATTTGGTACGTGATTCAGAAAATCTAGGTCATCGCGGATGTAACTAAGGACTTTTGCGCAGAGTGGCTTTAGCACGATTTTCTCAATTACGTACCAAATGAAGTTGCCTAAATTACAATACGTCAATAGTCTAAGTGGGAACGACTGAAAACCTTAGAAACAGAGTAACTTTGCATATAAGCAGCATATTAGACACAAAGAATATCGACATTTAACCGTCAGTGAATACCTATCTAAATGTAGCAAAGGCAACTTTAACATTATGCCGATCTATAAGTGTATCAACGCTAATAGACTAATAAAAGAGACCAAAGAGAAACAAATCATTAGAAGACTAGAACCTAATCTTAATGCATGCTAATTTTATCTTTGTAAATAACACAACTTTAACATAGTCACACTAAATAGGATGTATCATAAATTATTACATGCACTATAATTATGTAAGTAAACAAAATAACCACTGTCATCATTTATCACCTGAAGAGCTAAGAGAGCGAAAACGTTTGTGAATAAAGTGATATTAAAAAATACAAACCAGTGGTTATGTTCGAATCATATCTTTCTAGTACCACTGCTTTGTATTTTTTAATATCACTTTATTCACAAACGTTTTTGCTCTTTTAGCTCTTCAGGTGATAAATGATGACAGTGGTTATTTTGTGGCATGTTGTAAAACATGGACTGGACTGGACTTTTAAACTATGGACTGGACTGGACTTGTAAAACATGGACTTGTAAAACATGGACTTGTAAAACATGGACTTGTAAAACATGGACTTGTAAAACATGGACTTGGGAAACATGAACACCGATCTTCGAATTTGTTGGTTTCAGCTCATTAAACACACAAAAACACATTACAAAATATCTTGCCACTCTCTGCCCCAACCTTTATTTGCCGTCGAAATTGGACCACGATAACGAAATAGAAAACGTCTACTATTTACAGGCATACATTTGTATCATATATAGTTAGATTGCGGTAATTGGCCTTTCCCAGAAATTCTGTGATGTTTCTGTGCCCCTTAATACTATTCAAAATAGTCGCTTCTTTAACAAATCGAGCCGCGGAATCAAGGGAAACATTCTTTAGTTTTTTTTACTACGACATCCTGTTGGCTGGTAGCCTGGTAGCGTCGTGAACATATTTTGCCAGGTGTACGGAATTAAAGCTACCAGAACCGAGCTTTTTCTGCTTTATTATATTAGCCCATTCAAATTTTGGTAAAACAGGCTTATCGTTTGGCTTTTTCGTCAGTTTGGGAAGCTTGAAACTACCGAACATTTTGGTTTACAGACCTTTACATTGTTGGAGACTGACAGAGATTAAATAAGTAATTTAATATACTCGTGTGATGTACTCGCGCAAGTCAAAGTCTGGGCAGCCTATGATTTGTTATGCAATAATAAATCGGCATGCGCTTAGCGCGCGCGTAGCCATTTTACATTTAATTTATTTTTCAATTGAATTGTCGTGTCCGCTTGATAATGACACAGAGTAAACAAATAAAACAATAGATACAGAGCTGTCTATTACTTACTCCGTAATATTGGCGGCAGAGAGTGTTCATGTCTTACAAGTTCAAGTCCATGTTTTACAAGTCCATGTTTTACAAGTCCATGTTTTACAAGTCCATGTTTTACAAGTCTATGTTTTACAAGTCCATGTTTTACAAGTCCATGTTTTACAAGTCCAGTCCAGTCCATAGTTTACAAGTCCAGTTCAGTCCATGTTTTACAACATGCCTTATTTTGTTTACTTACATATAGTGTAATATGATACATCCTATTTAGTGTGACTATGTTAAAGTTGTGTTATTTACAAAGATAAAATTAGCATGCATTAAGATTAGGTTCTAGTGTTCTAATTATTTGTTTCTCTTTGGTCTCTCTTATTAGTCTATTAGCGTTGATACACTTATAGATCGGCATAATGTTAAAGTTACCTTTGCTACATTTAGATAGGTGTTCACTGACGGTTAAATGTCGATATTCTTCGTGTCTAATATGCTGCTTATGCAAAGTTACTCTGTTTCTAAGGTTTGCATAAGCAGCATGACACGAAGAATATCGACATTTAACCGTCAGTGAACACCTATCTAAATGTAGCAAAGGTAGTTTCTTACCACCTTTTCAAATTCTCATTTTTTCTGCGATCTTACGAGGAAAGAATCCTTCAATACTTAATGCAACTATTTGTCCTTGTGCACCATCACTTTGCACCTTTTCCCACCATCTTGGGCAGTGTAAAGGAATGAGAGCTTTATTTTGTTATAATTTAAATCATTAGGACCAAAACAGTGTGCAATTAATAAGGTTTACAGTACTGGAACACTAGCATGCATGTCTTAATTCGAATGCGCTGCCAGGATTTAATACTGAAATTCTACAACGACTGGACTCAAACTTTTGCCCCCTACTGTATATATACCGGGTGTCCCAAAAAAAGATTCCGGTAGGATTCAAAATAGCTTCTTATTGAGTACAGTTATCGAAATGAGACCACTTCAATTAGTTCGAAGAAATACCAAATTCGATTTTAATACGTTATATTTGTTTATTTAAAGAAAATTCACGGAGATATTTCTTAAATTTCCATAGAGACGAATTTTCATTACCCGCAAAGGGGTCACATGATAACGAATAAACGTGCAACGGGCATGTTGAGGATTTCAGCACGAAATTTTCAATTATCTTTACCATTCAATTATCTATGCAGGTGTTGTTCCTAGTATAATGAGGCCAAAAGTACGCCCGAAAGATGAAGATAGAGTTTATGTGGCATTACAATGTTTCTGGGACTACTTTGATGATGCTTCTCATGTTGAATTTCATGTCAAGTGGTTCAAAGACTCTAACGAAACCACATACGCAATGCAACATACGTTTAACGGGACTGCAAATCAAACGTGTCACGAAAATCTTTACGAAAAACAAATTTTTGTAAATAGAGTGACTGGGAAAATAGAAAGGGATGAACGTGGTTATGAATGGAACAAAAGGGTTTGTATTAGGCCTCTGCAGACTGTACTCGGCAACGCTTTAGGAACTTTTAAAGATTTGAGCAGCTGTTCTGGTTTCGAGCAACCAGGCTCCGTGAATATTTGATGTCACTAGTGGCGTAACTAGAACGATAATTCGGGAGGGGGGAGGTGTGCTTATCTATATACTCATCAGTTCTGCCTGACGGATTTTTTATGTGATTCCAATAACTTACAATAGAAATCCGCCGGCAGAACTGAACATATGAATAAACATCCCGCAATTACATGCAGTTTCAGTTGCACCCCTGATGGTGACAAATCTCACAATGAGTTAATTAAAAAAAATTGTACGAACTCAATTTAAAAGTGGGAATAAAATTTTCGATATATCATTCGCTCATATATAATACATATTTCAAATAGGTATGCTATTAGGATTTTTAAGAGGTTGACGGCTTCACGCAAAAACCAAGCAAAACGCCACGAAACCCATGCAAGTATAAAGACAATGTGATTGATATTTGGGTATTTACGTATATATTGGCGGGCAACTTTTAAATGTAAACAATCTAAATTGAGATGTTTTTAAGCATGTTTTTCCACATTACTTTAGCCTTTTTTTAAAATATATATTTTAAAATATATTATTAAACGTATATTTTTTCCTTTTATTCAAATATTTCACATGAGACCGAAGAGCTCCTCAGCGAATTGGATTGTTTCTTTTTGAAAATAAATAAATATGGGACACGGTGGCTTCTGCGTGGTCTTGCTGTTTTCCACCAAAACTATCAGATGAGTTTGCCAGGAAGTTTTAGCGTGTTCTTAGAGAAATTTGTTGGACCGCGGTAACGATGAGGAGGCTAGGGGAGGCAAATTTTTTTTAGATCTTTGCCTCTCCTCACTCGTCCTGGTAAAAGACAAGGGTCAGCTGCCCTCCCTCCTCACAGTTCCATGCAGCGTCCCTGCAAATTTCTTGAAGAACCCATTGCCATTATTGAAAAGCGCACTGTTTATTGTTGAGTCTATGAGTACTTTATTGCATGATATAATATAATTTTAGAAACAATACGCGAATCATTAAAATGTTGAATTAAATACCTTTTTCTCGAGATAATAATACTTTACTTTCCAATAGGTATATTGTAAAGTTCGAGGGAGGTTTCATGGTGGAGGTTGGTCACAATGGAAATCAAGTGGAACAATTTTTACCGGTATTGAGGTGAGTTTTTAGACCTAATTAATATGGCATACCATTCTCGCAGGTAATTGTCTGATGACAGGAGCGAATACACATATATTCGTCTCCTGCTGTAGATAACTTTTGTAACCGATTTCTTATAAGGTAATTAAACATAAGTATATATGCTACACACCCAAACATCAATTAAAGTGCTTGAATTTTATCAATATAGTGAGATAATATAATCTAGCAGGCAATTTAAAATTTAAGTACAAAATAACTACAGCGTGTAAGTTTAAACTTGCTAAATTTACGCGCACGTATCGTTATAAAGGAATCTTTCCGTATGTGTATAGGTCTTTTGGGACCTTCGGTTACTTTCTGTACAGAAGGTTTGTAAGTAATAGTTTTTTCGGAGTAAAAATCGTGTTTTTCGCAATCAATATCTAAACAGTTTGGGCACAAAATTGATGAATGAAAATACTGTTTAACCTGACGGGCTCAAAATATTGAATATGCTTTATACGTTATTATTCAGGTTTCAGACAATTTGGCGAAGCCGTTAACGAGCGCGCGAGGTTTAAGTTTGGTTTTCTGCGTCTTAACTTTAAAATTAGATTTCCTTGCGACTAATTTGCATACGTTAATAGATCATTAATTATATAATATCTGCAAATTAGTTATAACTGAAATTAACAAGCTCAAAAATGAAAACGTAAAATACCCAGCCTTTTAACTTTGCATGCTCGCTTATACGCCTGTACCAAATTGTCTGAGGCCAACTATAACAACTTATAAAACACATTTTTATACTTTAGATTTTTCAAGTGCAAACTGTTTTTCAATACACTCTGTATACTGAAAAAAATGCAAACATTTGTCAAGGCCCTGTTATACAAGGTGCAATTTTTCCTCCCACTTGCAATGCGATTAAATTTTTCAGGAAAGTAGATTTGAAAATTACTAAACTTTTGTGTTTATTGCACTCCATAACGCGGCTTTCAGTTTCTGAGGGTTTTCTCTGTCTTCCAAAAGAACTTGCAGCGGTCAAGTTAGAACGAATTTTTTTAGGTCTATTAACTAAATTAAAAACTTACATAATAGTATTATCATTTTGCATGGTGACATCAAATAAGCAAATTAGCTTGTAGGTACACCACGTAAGTATTTAATACTGCAAAGCTTTCAGTCCGTTCACCCAGACCTTCATCATTGAAATTACTTGAAACACATTTAGACGTCACTTAAATATCACGCTCGTCGTGATTTGTTTGTTTGAGCTATTAATTAATGGTTTCACTTAATTTTTGTTTCACTGCTAGACAAATTTAGCTAACAAACATTGAAAAGATAATGGAAACTTTATTTTCGATTAATTAATAAGAAAAACAAACTTCAATGATACAGTACACCTCGCTGCAGGTAGCTTATCAATGACTACAAGAATTCACGCTGGATTAATTAATATGTATATACACTGCAATAGTGGTTAAGATGTACTATTATGTCATTATTTTCCGGTTAGAAAAAGATTTACAAATATGTCATATATCCCACTCTTTGTTTCGTTTACAAAATATAATGACGGTGGTCTTATGCTGTATGCACAATCTTTTTATGTAATATCATTTGCTATGCTGGGCGTCAAATTATATAGGCTTCTGAGCATTTCATAGAAGCATTCCGCTCATCTACCAAAATAACCTACACTGCGTCCAAGAATTATATGCAGAATTGCTTTTTCCCTACATATCATTACGTTTTTAAAAGAGGTTATATATACATATATATATATATTATATATATATATAATATATATATTATATATATTATAATTATATATATATATATATATATATATATATATATATATATATTTATATATATAAACAATCAACATATAATCATAAAATTGTATTTCATCGCTACACTGTGTTTCACGTACTAGTTTTAGTACGATCCTCAGGCGATAACTATTTACAACGGTTTACGCACACGCGTTTTTGATTCATTACGCGAGAGTTTTAACGTGCATGTTTGCGTGCGCTTAACATTACAAACTTTAAAACCATATCTATGCCGGCATTTACTAAACAGTTCTGTCCTTTTGTTCAACGACTTGTTTTTGTCTGATAGCATGATTAATCTTTTTTCCTCGGTGCATAAATTGCAAACTTTCATTTCTGGACATGCGGCGGGAACTTGCTTCATCACTGACCATTTTATCCCAAATGGTTTATCTTGCGACTTGAGCCCCCAAACATACTTCGAGAGCTCCGTTTCTCCTGAGTAGCGTTCGTGGTTAAAAGACTTTAAGTGGCTGCTGTATCTGAGTTTGAAGCTACCTGATGTCATACCAATATAATGCTTGACATCTTCTCCATTATCCGAGCTAACTTCCGCTTTGTACACAATACTTTTCACGATCATTCATTCCTATCCTTCGACATCAATGAATTCTACCCATCGATTTCAGAAGAACTATTGAAAAGGGCAATTTCTTGGGCGAAGACAATGATAAATATCACAGATGAAGAAGAGTCCATCATCAATCACGCACGTAAATTGTTTCTTTTTCACAGTGATAAAGCATGGAGCAAAACTAACGATGTTAATGGTTCTTTATTTGATGTCGCTATGGGTAGTTTCGATGGTGCCGAAGTCTGCGAGTTGATTGGATTGTTCATATTAAACACATTTGCATCACAATTTGGTAAAAATATTGTTGGTCTATATCGGGATGATGGCTTGATGTTGATCAAAGGAAAGAAGGGCAGATCAGCTGACGCGGCTATAGAAAAGAACTTCACCGCATCTTTGAGCAGTTCGGGTTAAAAATCACCGTCGATATTTGCCATCAATCAGTCAACTTTCTTGATGTCACCTTAAACCTGAAAGATAATCAGTTCTCCCCTTACCGAAAACCTAATAATGACCCAGTTTACATCGACAGCAGGTCTAACCATCCACCATCCATAATTAGACAACTTCCCAAATCGATCAACAAACGTATATCCTCATTTTCGTCCAACAAAACCAGTTTCTAAAACACAGTCATTTCAACACCACCTTAAGTTACCAACAAGATGAAAACAACTACAACCCCAAGCGAAGAACGCGATCAAGAAACATAATCTGGTATAATCCACCTTATAGTAAGAATGTGAAAACGAATGTAGCACAAAGGTTCCTTCGCTTAATTGACAAGCATTTCCCAAAGTCATCGCCTCTCCATAAAATTTTCAACCGGAACACGGTCAAAGTGAGTTACTCTTGTATGAACAATGTTAAAACCTCAATCTCCAACCACAATCATACAGTCCTTAAACATCAAAACAACTCAGTCCCAATGTTCTTTGAAATCATGCAACTGCAGAGTTAAGGAGGAATGCCCAATGAACGGTAATTGTCTCGTGAAAAGTATTGTGTACAAAGCGGAAGTTAGCTCGGATAATGGAGAAGTTGTCAAGCATTATATTGGTATGACATCAGGTAGCTTCAAACTCAGATACAGCAGCCACTTAAAGTCTTTTAACCACGAACGCTACTCTGGAGAAACGGAGCTCTCGAAGTATGTTTGGGGGCTCAAGTCGCAAGATAAACCATTTGGGATAAAATGGTCAGTGATGAAGCAAGTTCCCGCCGCATGTCCAGAAATGAAAGTTTGCAATTTATGCACCGAGGAAAAAAGATTAATCATGCTATCAGACAAAAACAAGTCGTTGAACAAAAGGACAGAACTGTTTAGTAAATGCCGGCATAGATATGGTTTTAAGGTTTGTAATGTTAAGCGCACGCAAACATGCACGTTAAAACTCTCGCATAATGCGCGTGTGCGTAAACCGTTGTAAATAGTTATCGCCTGAGGATCGTACTAAAACTAGTACGTGAAACACAGTGTAGCGATGAAATACAATTTTATGATTATATTTTGTTGATTTGTTTATATATATATATATTATATATAATATATATATATATATATATATATATATGTAATATATAATTATGTATAATATTATATTATATATATATATATATATATATATATATATATATATATATATATATATATATATATATGTATAGGTTATCACATGAGGGGCGAGGTGATATCAGTTTTATCGCTTGAGGGACGATATCATAAATGTCACGAGTGAGCGCAGCGAACGAGGGACATTTATGATATCGTCCCTCAAGCGATAAAACTGATATCACCTCGTCTCGATTGTGATAACCTGTTTATCACATACTTCTTTTTGATCTATAAAGCAATCGACATTGACTGAAACAAACCTCGAATTGCTCGAGTTAGCCATCTTTGTTTTGACAGCGGCAAATGCAGCGGGACAAAAAGCGATATCAGTGACAAAAAGCGATATCAGTGACAAAAAGCGATATCAGTGACGATATCGTTTTTATGTCACCCTGTTATCGCCCTGATAAAGGCACAAGTATGTGATAAATAGATATATATATATATATATATATATATATATATATATATATATATATATATTTATATATATATAATATACAGAGAGTTCAAGGGTTCATATATACTAATGATAGTAATAATAGTATACTTTGCGCTTAATAGCGCGAGCAAACAATCGCAAATCATGAACAAGGCAATATTTAAGTGACGCTTAAATTTACAAGTAGTTGCACTGAGGATATAGGTTAACGAACCGAACGAATTCAATACTTATGTGTTGTACCAAGCTAATTCACTTAAAATCCTACAGCTTATAAGTTCAAAATAAAAGTTCAGATTAATAATGAGATTTTCTTGCTATTTGTGAGCCGAGTGATCTTCTAGTCACGCCGCTGATTATTTCAATTGCCTGGTGCAGATCATGTAATTTCTTCTACCCCTAATAAATTAAACGCATTTGAAAAATGATATAGCACTTGCTTCAGCTGTAATGTGAATAGGCAAATATCGGCCAAAAACGCTAAGTAGCTACTACTAAAAAATTTTTTCATGTCTTCGCAATACGATGTTCTCATTGTTTTTAGCAAACAACTTTCGTTGGTATACATAGAAAAGAAAATGTTTATATTAAGATTGCATTATTATATTTCGGATTCAATAATCTTTCCATAGTCACTCTGATTAACTTTTAAAATGTACTCTACCTTCAAGTCAAGCTTATAGTCGAGTTTGAATTAAACTTGGAGAGCGATATATACTTTGTAGGAAAAAAATTGAGGCTCAACTAACATTAATATCTCACGATGCAAAACAAAAATTGATTTTTTAATTAATTGTTGGAAATCTCTAATCCTCGTTTAATTTTCCTTTTTTCGACAGGTGCATCCCAGGACAATTTATCTCGATGAATGTGAGACAAATAGAGAAATATTTGTGAGTTTAAGACCTGTTCTTCCTATCCGTAAAACATCCTACAAATTCGAAATCGGATACGAAGAAGAACACCAAAACACTTTAGCGAAAATATGCATAAGGGGAAGAATATCTAGCGACAGATGCTTATCAGAACTTACAGAAAGGCACAATTTCTATCATCCTCTGTGGATCAGAATAACTGCCGTATGCCCTTCAATAGAAACTGGAGAAAGTCTTAAAGAAGTGAAAGTCAGATTTCATAACCAGAAAGCAGACTTGACAAATAACCTATTCTGGTACAATTACGATTTCCTTCCAATAAAGGTAAATTTATACAATTTTTTTGCACTTAGAGTATGATGCACACATGACAAATTCTCTTAGCTAGGTAATGAGAAAACATTGCGAACTTTTATGATTTATCTAACGATTTGACCTAGGTCACTAACGATGTTAATGAGTTCACCTTCTGCTCGAAGATTGACAGCACACCTTTCTTCACGAAGATTGTGCTGATATATTACACACTTTCAGCTTAAAACTAAAATCAGGATATATATTACACATATTTTATAAAGGTCATTTTAATGCACACACGCGTTCTTAAGTATAGATGAAAGATATTCATATATTAATTTGGGGAAGAGAAGAATAATTTCTTTTCAAATGGATTGTCTTTACAGGTTTGTCAACATAAATATATGAATATGTGCCCACCTACCCCCTTTATCGTGCCTCGTACGCCCCTGGAACTGGTCAAATAGTGATCTACAATATAAGCAAATGCAATCAGTATTATTTAATTGTTGGCGTTGCTTTACAGCGTATCACTGCTGTCTCAAAGTAGAAGCCCCAGCTTATTAGAAAATAAGAAAAATATCAGAGCGCGAAACAATGATATACAATTAATATTGAGAGTACTTTGTCCCAGAGATAATGTCGCGTTCAATATTCGCGTTGAAGTAAACCGAGGTTTTGCGACGTGTAACTTTGAACAACTATAATCTTTCCAAAGAGCAGAAGGATGCGGTGAGGAGCTAAGGACAGATAAGTCTATACATATTTTAAAGTTGATAAGGAAAACGCCACGGTTTTACTAAATCGTTCAGAATATGAAAGAGAAATTCGTGCTCTTCTTGAGACTCCATTTAAGAGCTAACACGGGACCCCACAACCATTATATTGAACGCAAATTATGCTCTAAACTGTCTGAACTGAGACTTTATTGTAGTGTGTGTCCTATACATTTCATGGTTTACCTAAAATACATGAATCAGGTGTACCTCTTAGCCTATAGTGACATCTCCACGTTCACTGACTTCTAATTCAGCTAAATATCTTGCCGGAAATTTAAACCCTGTCGTTCGTCTAACAGAACACCATGTAGTTGATTCTAACTGAGAATTTATTATGAATTTGCAAGAAATTTAAGTAGGTAAAAATAAAATTCTTGTTCGGTTATCATGGAAAAATTTGAAAATAAAGCCCTAGGTACAGCCTGTTTAAAACCTTAGATATTGTCGCGAAGCAGTAGTCCAAAATATATATATTTCTATTGGCATTATAATAATCACGTAATCAATTGAACATCACTCGGCGGCATTAAAATGGTTAATATCCTAAACTATCAACCAAATACAGAAAGAATGCCCATATAGCCATGTAGTACCGTAACACACTGTTCCATTTCCTGTAAAACCCTTCTTACAGCTGCATGTTGCAGTTCCATTCATATTTAAATCTGTGTCCATGCAATCCGAGTAATTTGGGCACGACTTTAACCCAGTTTTGCATTCATCTAAATTGGAGAATGAAAAAATCAGTCTGTGTAAGAACCAAGGATTGTTATCCCCGAGCCACAGAGCATACAGAGGTTTGACTTGGCATTAATTATGCGTTCCTAGCGGCCATGTTGTTAGCCAGTGCGCTAAAGAGAGACCCTATCCCCCCCGAACATTATAAATATCCATATATTCCACATTTTCACTTTATTTAAACAATCGCTCCCACTTCTATACTCTTCTAAAGGATAAGAACTAACAAAATCTGGTTTTGAGAAAAAAATTGAGCAACGTTTTTGTCAAAAATACGATTTCTCCAGATAGTTCTGTCTCGGCTGTTTATATTCAAGCCGCCGCCATATGCATGATTTCCCGGGGGGAGAAGGTCTCTCTTGAGCGCACTGGCTAAGCCAAGGGGTACGCAAAATTAACGGCAGTCAAACCTCTGTATGCTCTGTGCCCGAGCCGGTGCGGAGCACCGTGCGAGGGTATACTAATTCCGCTCGGATATTTACACACACGATATGCAAATGCGAAATCAAAGTCGTCCGCCATTATGCAATGGACCTCACGCCATGGACGGTCTTCTACGTTATGCGCATGCGCCAATATGAACTACTAAGCTCTTGATTGGTCGAGACAAAAATTTGTATTTTCAAACGTCAATGAGTAACGGTCATTTAGCAAAATTTTGATGAAATTTACAAATTTATATCTTTATAAATATGGAATATATGTATTTTTACTAAATTAGAGGGAAACTCGAATGAGGTCAGTGACTTTTCACGGTTTAACAAATAACAAGACCAAATTTTCGACCGAATTCACCGTGTATATTAATGAAGTCGGAAGATTTTACACTTGATATTTCATCCGGCACAGCTTTAAAAAGTAATTCTTTTGTGGCAAACACAACTTTAATATTCTCAAATGTATTTCACTATAAATCTGAATGTGTTATGTGATAAACGACAATATAATTTTATTTATAAACTCCGTTTTCATAATGACAAAAAGAAAACAAAATCAAAACATTCCCGTACAAAAACCAGTCGAAGCGTTGTATGAGACGTCTGATGTTATATTTCATGGTATTTAATAATTAAAATAATTTACCATGACACTGACTATAGATGAGTATATTAACTTCCAGAAAAAGGTAAGAATCTTGTCGTATTTTTGCCATCTTTTCACAAAAATATGAGGGTAAACCACTGAGCTATATAATAATTCCTGGAGGACCGGCTCGCTGCCAAAAAGCGTACCAGAAAAGATGGCGGATTTTGAGCTTTGCTGACGCCACATGGTCCCCTTTGCCCATGGTAATTACCACTGACATACCGCGATACAAAGTAAAAAACGTGTCCATCACCCTCCCGATTTTTGACTGTTATCAGTTTTTGAATATTTTTTTATTCATCTTTCCCGCCTTTCACTAAATTTAAAAAATGCCTAAGTTTTGCTGCGTTTTTGGTTGTCATAATTCCTTTAAAGGAGAATATTACCTCCCACCGGTAAGATATTTATGCAATTTCTTTATTTTGTAGTTTTTATTGCAAAAAAACACGATATTTTTTCACACGTAAAAGGCAATGGCGTCATTTTTTGTACACTCAGAAATAGCTGTAATAAATTATGGGTTGAATTTCTTTAACTTTTGAGATAATTTGCATTACATCATTGTGTTTTGACTGTTTTTCGTTTTCAATGTATTTCGTGACGGCAAGAATTTAATTTATCAATATAAGCTTAATAAATTATGCAGTGTGATATCATTTTTTATTCAATAGCTCTAAAATCAAATTTACAAAAACATGTACAAAATGCATACTTGATATACTACATAAATAATATATATAACATGCATACTATAAAATTTGAATTAAAAAACCTTTAATTGCATGGTGCTAGGTATTTATTAACATACTACTTTAACATTGAAATATAGTTTTCCTGATGCTGAGAGGAGTCCTGAGTTACATGCCTTATGGATGGAGAATATAAACAAGAATGCTGCTGTTGAGTTTACTCCAAATAAGGGAAGTCGTGTCTGTTCCGAACATTTTAGTGTGGACATGATGCAAAAAGTTGGGCAAAGGACAATGCTGTTGCCATATGCTATCCCAACAATATTTCAGAAGTCTCAGGTTTGTACCTCTTTTAAATTAGTGAACAAGTAAGATTATAATTTTCTAATTAGACTCCACTCCAAGAGCTGCATGTTAATAACAACTGTATAGTGAAGATCATTATGTGAGGCAAAGTTCATTAACATTAAAAATAAATTGTCACACATTTTAGCTCAATGACAATTGTCACACTTTTTAGTTGCAAACATACATAAGTTTTTTCTGGTCACCTGCAATGCATATAGTGTTGTCACTATGGAATGTATAACTTGATAGTGCATGAGTACCATTTTGTCTTGTATGTCTTGTGGCATAGATGATTTTCATTGTGTTATCATATTAAATTTAACATTTCTGTCAAGGAAACACAAAGTGTGAAATGTGTAGAGGTTGCATCGAAAGATATTGCAAGTTGGATGTCAGACAGAGATTGTGTGAGTATGGAAGAGGTAGCTGAACATATAGTAAGCAAAGACAGTGCAGGAGATACAACAACTGAGAGTGTTGGTAAAGTAGTTGTTCAGGGTGTCACTGATAAGGTAAGCTCTTGTAATGTAAGTGTACAGGGTATAACAAAAGAGGTTATTACTGATGATGTAATTGCACATGGAAGAAAAAGAAAGCCTTCAGATGAAGACTTTGATGAGATGCTTATTAATGGGGTAAGTACTCCAAAAAGAATACACATGAGTCATGTGAATCATGATCACACCTACCATATCAGTAAATCCCCTCGTAGAATGAAGAAACATGTAGACAATCTTGTAAACAAAATGACTAAATTGCAGAAAAGTTAATGCATCAAAGCAAAAGACAAAAGGCTAAAGAGAAAGGTTAGCACTTTGGAGTCAGTGGTAAGTGAACTGAGGCAGAGTAATCTTATAAATAGTGATTGCGCTGCGATTTTGGAAACAACCTTTTCCGGAGTTCCAAAGGAACTGATGAAGAGGTTAGTGTCGCAAAAAAAAGCAAAAATCCTGGGGCGTATCCGCCCGAGCTAAGGTCATTTGCTCTGACCTTAAAGTTTTATTCACGAAGGCGTATAATTATGTTCGGAAGAGTTTTCAGCTCGGGCTGCCACACGTATCTGTGATCCGATCGTGGTTACTTCGATGGATGGTGAACCCGGTTTCACGAAAGATGCCTTGACAGCTTTGAAAGCTAAGGTCCTCGCTGCAAAAAGAAAAGGTGAAGAAGTTGTTTGCGCTCTCACCTTGGATGAGATGTCCATACGAAACATGTCGAGTGGGATGGGCAAAGAATGCGTGGGTATGTCGACCTCGGAACGGGCATTGAAGACGACTCTCTACCTGAGGCAACCGATGCTCTTGTGTACATGGCTGTATGTGCAAACTCAAGTTGGAAAATACCCTGTGGATATTTTCTAGTAAATGGACTCACTGGTGAAGAGAAG